ATTAGATAACAAACTTAATATAGAAAATGCATGAAATAAGCAGGATTCCCAAGAAAGCCAACAAAATTTAATTTGCAACCTGTTTTCTTTCCAACTTTTTGTGAGACTTTTGGGGTGTTTTACCTGAGAAGCAGTTCCAAAGCAAAATCCTGGTTACATTTGTGACTTCTAAACAACAACTTGCGTTTATGTAACCCCCTTCACATAGAGTGACGTCTTGGTTTGCTTCTCCTTTGGGAATGATGAATTTAAAAAATCCAATTTATAAACTGCAGTTTGTCCTTGATAAAATAACTGCTATTCTCAACAATACCTCCCAGATATCCATGATTCTTTAATTCAGACTTCATATAAGCTGTGGTTGATTTAATTCTGCATTCTAGCCTGCTGAGAACATAAGAGAGAATCTATTGTTTACATTATAGCTAAAGCCTCGATTTCAAAGATTGTAATCTGTTGATTAACATGTGGCAGTATAATACATAGTCATTACTGTGGCGTACCATTAAATGAGAGGTTCATTTAAGGAGAAAATCTACTGAGCCACCAGTTCATTTTTATTAAACAGAAACAATTGTGAGTTGTCGTGCTATTAAGAGGCTAGTGTTATCCCAACAATGCAAGGGAAGATATTCCCCCTGAATCTATTTTCTTCCAGAGAAAGATTTCAGCATGTGTGGAATTATAACAGATTATTAAATACAGTCTTAACTTTTAAACCATTTTTGGTAATTCTTAAGAGAAATTTAAGTTAGCCTGGCTTCAAAATTATGGCAAAATTCAGTTATGTGGGAAATCATATTTCACTGTAGTGAATGTGATAGCCACGTGTAAATTACTTTCAGATGCAATCAGAATAATACTTTAGGATGCATTAAGAGGTCAAGAGGTTACAGGTTTAAAGATGCAAAGGAAAATTCAGGACAGACACCAGGAAGTATTTCTTTACCCTGAAGGTAATTAATGATGGGAAAAGGTTACCAATAAGGGTGTTTCAAGCAAGGCCACTGGACTCAATTACAAAAAACAGTTTAGTGCTGTGATGGGAAGTTAGTGTGGTGGTGGAAGGTTGTGTGTCATCCTGGCCTAGTTGCAGCAGTATCACCTTGGAGTCAGAAGGTTGTGGATTCAAGCTGCATATGTTGTGAAAGGCGCTATATCATATTCAAAATTATTATTGTTTTGGAAGGATTGAGATCAAATGGGCCAAAGAGTCTATTCATCCGAACAAAATCTTATGATGTTGTGACAATTCTGTGAGAAGTACAATTTCCAGAACTTTCCACAATTCTGCAAGATTCTTAAAGTTTGAGACCATATCAAACACGGGGTTATTAATATTGTCTTACACAGCATGTTATTTCAGTCCTATAATTGACAGTTTTTTCATTCTTAAAGGGATTCTTTAATAAGGAATCCACAAATTGGGAGACCTTCCATTAACTGGAAGTACATCATATAGACCAATGGGAATTCCTCTTTGATGCAATGTACTTCTTTAGCGCCATTCCCATGGCTCATCAGGTATCCTAATGGGATTCTTTATTAAGGAATGCACAAATTGGACCCATTTGTCTGATTTCAAACAAGATTCTTCAATGAAAAAAAGCACAGAATTACAAGACCATATCCCAAGTACAATTTCATCCATTTTTGTTTAAGGTTAAAAAAAACTAAAATGTTTCTGATAATGGTCAATACTGGACTGCTTCACAATGCCACAAACCAAAATGAAAAAGAAAGAACACAACGTATTTCAAATAAAACAAACAACAAATACATAGAAAAGGTTCAGCGATCAATTGTAAATCAAATCTTTGGGAACTTGTTTTGTTCAGCCGGGCATCTGACAAATGTGAAAACCCATCACCTTGCTTAAATGTGTTTGGAATACAATGAACTTTCTCTCCCTGGAGAGACAAAACCCACTAAAACCAGAGTACTTTGCGCAGTTTGCTAAAAACCAAGGCTTGGGGCCCAAGAGTGTGTGTTTGGGCACTGCTGAAGATTAACCAGCAAAATCATTTATATTGCCATTGAGAGAACTTTGTAGCAAGCTTGCACTGCTTGTCCAGCTAGGACCATCCTACATTTTAAATGATTTGGCTTTCAGGGTTAACAGGAGCCAAGTGGGAAAAATTTGAACCCAGTGACTGAAGTTCTTAAAAGGATAGTTTTGTTGCAATTTATTGTGATTTGTGGGATACCTTGATTACAGTAAGGTTAGATAAGCTGAAATCCCACTGGTCGCTAATGTTGCCTACATGCTTATACTGAGCAAAATGCCATTTAACATGGAGGTGCATGCAAATTATCGTTTGGAAATCACTTTCTACACGCGCACAGGCAATCTTGGTAACTTTATGGCCAGCAGAAATGTGTACTTTGGATGGCTGCAAATGATGACTTAATTATAAACCACTTTGTTGCTCTGCTGAAGGAAGGGGGAAAACAACCCCTATTCTTGATACCAATTGCTATTCATTTGACCCTGTTGAAAGTATACAGGGTAGATATTGGGTGAGGATTAGATTAGACTCGCTTCTGATAGTTAGCTACATAGACTGCCATTGTTTGAGATCACATGCAAAGAATATTTACTTTCACTAAGTTCCAAGTTACCAGAGGCAGTATCTCTATACATTATTATCTGAATTATTACCGTGCTAAAATTTTACAGCGTGGATACAAACTTGTTGAAATCAAATCCTAGCAGTCTGCTGACCAAGGTTCAAGGTAACATGTTTATTGGTTTAACAAATAATAATCTTTGCATTTGATAAAGCGCCTCATCACATCTTCGAGACATCTCAAAGCGCTTCACAGTATATATGGTAAAGTGAGTGACTGTGTATTTTGTGGGACGAAATGCGGCAGTCAATTGCGCACAGCAATGTCCCACAAACAGTCGTGGATTGAGTGACCAATTTATTTATTTATTATTTTGATGGGATTATTCCCCCCGGAAAAGTGATCTGGCAATCGACGAACAACCGGGTTCCTACTTACTGCTGGGTAAACAGAGGCGTGTGCAGTAAGGAAAGATGCCTAAAGTTTCACCCTGCCCGGGAGTTGAACCCAGGTCCTCTCGCTTGCGAGATGAGCGCTCTGAGATACAGAACTCCACATTTTCTTTAATCAGGTTAATAGTTTAGTGTTCTGGAAGCTCAGAGAGCATCAGTTGGGTCAAAGCATTAACTTGGTTACCATTTTACGTTCCACTCTGACTCCCTCTCCAATTTCCACCCAAATAAACGTGCACTTAATTAAAAGAATAGGTAATTTCTTTGACTCTACCACTCAAAAATGGTTAATTGCACTTCATAAATTTACAGTGATAAAAGCCTTAGAATAGTTGTGTTGCCCAGCAACAAAGTCTTCTTAGTGTTCTTGCTGGTGCAGTAAATGGAAACTGATTGTGAGCAGATTTTTTAGAAGTACAGTACAAATAACCCTCTGAATTGACAAATTGGCCTCACTTCAAAATATAAGTCTCTCGAAACAGATATATAATTTTAGGTTATATTTTTGACAGTAGTCCATGAGAGAAAAAAGTATAGATTTAGCTGCATGAAGCGAGTTGTAGCTTTTAAAAAGTGCTATAATTACACCCTAGGGAATTATGCAATTACTTGCCCTGGGTATTATGCAATAAATACACTGAATGAATACAAAATTCAAGAAAACTGACCTCCATATCTTTCTTAAGAGGCTGCAATAGTGTTATCCTGTATTTAAATTGTATAAAAAAGAGACCTGTGTTCTACTCCCAGCAGCGCAAAATGTTGGGCAAGTTTCCTTACTCCACACATCTCTGTTTAGCTAGCAGTAAGTAGGAACCTGGCTGTTAGTTGTTTGGCGAAGCGCTTTTCTGGGGGTAATAAGTCCTTCAAAAAAATTACACTGGTCACTCAATCCATGACTGTTCATGGGATACTGCTGTGCCTAATTGGCTGCTGCATTTCACCCACAAAATATACCGGGAATTCATTTACAGTATATTCTGTGAAGCGCTTTGAGACGTCTCGAACACATGATAAGCCACTATATCAAATGCAAGGATTATTAGTTTCTTCACAGCTAATTTACAACGTTGCAGCTTTAAGTGTCACATTGTTGATTACCTCCTACAACATTCACATTTATTGATTCAAGTTTGTTGTTCATTTTCTAAAACCAATGCACTTTTCATATTGAGACAACAAGCAGCTCCGAGAAATGAAAATGCCTGCAATACATGACACAGATGCTGGTGCAGCCTTGTCATGCTACTAAATGAAAGCGACTCATCAGAAGATGTCTTTTAGCTAAAACCAAAACCACTGGACTAATTCAAATATTCAGTGAAACAGATGTTACTCAAGACCTTATAGCTCTTTTTTTATCCAGTAGCTTCTCCCTAGAGTAGCTGGAAGGGAAGTAAATGGTTTTGGTTAAATCAAAAATAGCAAGAGTTGCTCAGTAGCTAAAGTAAACTGTTAGAAATCAATATTACATATTATACAGCATTACACAGAACTTCCCTGCAATAAACTAAATTAATTCCTGATATATCTGCACTAAAAATATCACAAGGTCTGAACACCTATCAGGAAATTATTGTATGTCAATGGTAAGGAGTGTGTGGATAAATATTGAATGCATTGAAAACTGCCAGACCCCTAAATAGCAGAGCCTTAAGTAAAACACAAGCTATATAAAGTATATCATTGAAATGTAGCAGACCAGATGGTGTCTGAACGATGGTATTCCAATCATGGATTCAGAAAAAAAAGGTATAAATTGCTTGCAATTCACTTTTGTCACATTGTAATGTGTCAATTAGAATAATTTTGTAATTCACTCTTGGCACAGTTAAATATCACTTCTCAAAATCACAAAAACCACGACATCATTTATAAGTCAACATTTCAGCAGAAAATCTACCGAGTGGAGCAGTTTCCACTCTCTCGATAAGCAGTCTGAGGTTCTAAGGCTGTGGAGGTGAAGCATTGACTCACCCCTCCGGATGTACTTAGTTGCTGTCTCCTCATTTCGATGCAATCCCAGTTGAATAACTTGGATCTGTTGTTCGTTTGCGGAAGCCAACTGATTAACGGAGCATCTTAGTGATCAGTGGAAGGTAGCTTTCCCTACCACCGTATAAAATGTCATTGTCTTCTTGTTCCACCCCCTCAGATAACACTGGAGCCGTCAGGGTACATATCAGATTACAAATCTTTTACGACAGCAAAACTATAAATGAATATTTTGCGCTATAAAATAGCAGCTTGTGTTGAAGTTTCAAAGCTGTAACTGGAGAACTGTAACTTCTATAAAAGACTCACTGTGAAAGGTATATCATGATAAAATTACACACTTATTCCTTACAATTTTTCTTGAACAGACATTATTTTGCCATTTGCCAAGCCATCTTCCAAGAAAACTAATGTGAAAGTGCTGTGTTCCAGGGGGATATTCCCCACATACACAAACTTCTTACACTCACAATATCAGAAAAAAAACCCTGCATTATCTTCAGATGCAGAGCTCGAAGGCAACTTAACTAAATCCTCTGCTTCTTTGGTAGATATGCTATCACATTTGATTATGATGAAGTAGAGCTTATTTCTATTCATGGAACAAAAGCCGCAGACAGAATAGATGTGGCTGGAGCACCATTTATAAGTCTCTGCCCTGCAAACTGAAATAACCTTTGTGTTCATGGCTGGAAAAACATCAACAAACAACATGTGAACATTACATTTCTCAACCATTGTAAATGGAAAGTTAACAACTGAACCAAAAATGGAACTTCAAGCCAGATTGAAAACTTGGTGATTCTTCAGCCTAATAAGCTGTGAGAATGAGTTCCAAACAGAATATGAAATGTGATATGTATCACGCTGGGCTGCTCATTGCATAAAATTTAAATGAGCTGTTACTTTAAGAAAAAATGCTGCTCTATGCACCAAGTGAGAAATTCTGTATTTTTCAGAGAAATTGGTTTGAATGTGCAATATTATGTGCCACTTTATTTGGGTTTCTACTACAGGAGCTTGAAGAGATTGACTGACCAGTAGGCATCTTAGACGGGAATTTTGTTTCAAATCAGAATTGTGTGTTGTGTGCAGCTGAACTTTGTAACTGCCTGGGGACTGGATGGTGATTTTCTCATGATTTGGAGGAATATCAGAGTTTGGAGTCAAACTATTTAATTTGGGGGAGTATTGGGACTCCATCTGTGTTCAACCTAGCTCAGTTAGCATCACTCTCACCTTTGAGTCAGGAGGTTGTAGGTTCAAGCCCCATGTTGGGATCTGGAAGTTAAATACTAACACTGCAGGCTAACACTCAAATGCAGTGCTGTGAGTTTGGTGCATTATCAGAGGTGATGTCCTTCAGATGAGATGTAAAATTGAGGTCCCATTTTTCTGTTCAGGTCGATGTTACAGATCCCAAGGCAATATTCGAAAAGAGAAGGGAGTTTCCCCTAGTGTCCTGGTAAATGGACCCCCAAATAAAATTCCATTTAAATATTTTACTATTCCTATATAATATGCTCCAAATAAAACTGGTCATTCGCTTCATCACTGTTTGTGGGACTTTGAATTACATAAATTGACTGCCGCGTTCATCCACAAAAAAGTCATTCCACTTTCCAGGATAACACAGTGAAGCACTTTGACGTAAAAGACTATAATCAAATGAAAGGATTAACTGGAAAGGACCTCATTGTATACTCAGTCTGAGCTAATTAGCCTACCTGGCACTGATCAGCTATATTAGGAAAAGACGCATTTTGATGCTGATGAGGTCAGAGATTCAGGTTTTTGTGCAGTATTTTCATCAACTCACTACCACCTTTGCTACACATTGCAGCCACAAACCTAGGAGTGTTGACTCATCACTCACCATGGCAAGTGTGAGACAACAATAAACAATGCAAACAGGATGCTGAACTATATTTCTAAATCAGTAGAATTCAGATCCCCAAACGTCATACTGAAGCTATTATCTAGGGCTCTGGTCAGGCCACATCTAGAACACTGCATGCAGTTCTGGTCACCAAGACATGAAGAGGCTGACCAAGTCCTTGAGGCAATGCAAAGGAAAGCAATGAGGATGATCGCAGTTTTAGAGGAATAAGCTATGAGCAGTGATTAGACAAGCTAGGGCTCTTCAGTCTTGAGAAGATGACTCAGAGGGAAGGCCTTAAAGAGGTGTACAACATTTTAAATGAAAAATGGAAAAAGTAAATCCAGATCAATACCTTAAGAAGCAGCAAGACAAAAGAACAGGAAGAGTGGATGAGGCCAGGATACTGAACTCATTTAAAACACAGATTGATGCTGTGGGGAGAAGCTTGAGATTAGTTAGGCTAAAGCACTTTCTTCATCTGAATTAATCTTGTTATTTGATAAAGTACTGTGGAGTCCTGTAGCGTATTGGTTAGAACACTCGCCTCGCAAGCGAGAGGACATGGATTTGATTCCCAGGCAGAGCGAAACCTGAACCAAGTTTCCTTACTCCACACGCCTCTGTTTACCCAGCAGTAAGTAGGAACCTGGTTGTTAGTCGATTGGCGGATCACATTGAAAAATCAAAATGAAAAATAATAAATTGGTCACTCAATTCACGACTGTTGTATGACATTGATTTCCCAATTAGCTGCTGGATTTCGTCCCACAAAATACCCAGTCATTTCACTTTACAATATATCCTGTCAAGCGGTTTGAGACGTCTCGAAGATATATCAACTGCAAAGATTATTATTATTATTTGTTATACCAATATGCATGTTATTTTGAACCTTGGTCAGCAAACTGCTAGGATTTGATTTCAAGACGTTTGTACCCACGCTGTAAAATTTTAGCACGGGTAATAATTCAGATAATACTGTATAGAGATACTGCCTCTGGTAACTTGGAACTTGGTGAAAGTAAATATTCTTTGCATGTGATCTCAAACAATGGCAGTCTATGTAGCTAACTATCAGAAGTGAGTCTAATCTAATCCTCACCCAATATCCACCATGTATACTTTCAACAGGGGTCAAATGAATAGCAATTGGTATCAAGAATAAGGGTTGTTTTCCCCCTTCCTTCAGCAGAGCAACAAAGTGGTTTACAATTAAGTCATCAGCAGCAGCCATCTAAAGTACACATTTCTGCTGGCCATAAATTTACCAACATTACCTGTGTGCGTGTAGAAAGTGATTTCCAAACATAATTTGCATACACCTCCATGATAAATGGCATTTTGCCCAGTATAAGTATGTAGGCAACTTTAACGAGCAGTGGGATTTCAGCTTATCTAACTTTACTGTGATCAAAGTGCTCTCAATGGCAATACATATGTTTTTTGCTGGTTAGTCTTCAGCAGTGCCCAAACGCACACATAATAATAATAAATTGGTCACTTCAATCCACGACTGTTTGTGGGACACTGCTGTGCACAATTGGCTGCCGCGTTTCACCCAAAAAATACACAGTCAATTCACTTTACAGTATACTCTTGGAGACGTCATGAAGATGTGATAAGATGCTATAACAAATGCAAGGACTATTATTATAAAAGACTCTCTCTCCTCAGCTATTCATTCTGCAAATGTCATACAAATGACATGGGGTGAATGGAAGTGAGCAGATAAGGTGGGGCTAATAAGGTTGTGCCTCATGGGTCTATTGCTAAGTCCCCAATTCTTGTGAATCACGATTTATAAATTCAGTGCATGATATGCCAACCGAGACAGGAATCAGGTAGACAAGATCTTACAAAAAAAGTCAAACATAACACCTAGCCTGATCACTGACAAATGAAGTTCTGGGCGGACAAACGCAAGCTAATGGATGTTGGAATTAAAAATAGAACTCAGATGAGACACTCGCAGCACTTCGAGATACTGTGCATAGAATGTGAAGGGCTCTATAGAAATACAAGTTATTTTTGTAGATCAGTACTCCATGGATGAAATAGAACTTGTCAAGGGAAAGGTTGAATGAGACTCGAGTTGTTAGTTGACTTGTCCCTCACCATGTTCAAACAGTGTGAGGCAGCAATAAACAAAGTATACAGGATGCTGAGCTATATCACCAAATGAGTTGAGCTGAAAGCCCTAAAAGTTATACTTAAACTGGTTAATGCTTGGTCAAATTGCAACAGGATTACGGCATTCAGTTCTGGTTCAGTATAACAAGGGGCAGCGGCAGGAGTTTCCTGAGACAGTCTTAAGGGTTAAGGCACACAGTTGCAGCAAGGGAGAGGGAGCTTTACTTATCCATGTTTCATCTAACCAACCATGCTTGAAACTGTTACATTTCCCAGCATTATACAATTTCTTACCTTGAAGAGCATACAATTCATAAACTGTTTTAATAAAAGGAAACTCTAAAATATGGCATCTTATTAAGGCTGTAATTTTCTACTCACATTATCCAATATGATCAAATTCTATGTAAAATGCTTCTGTGTTTTGTTTTGATTGAAGGCACTACGACTTTGAGACATTGTTAAATGTGATACAGATTTATGCTTTTGGGTAACCCAGGAAATTATCTGTCATCTTTCAAATGTTTCAATCCCTCCACCTTGCTCCCTCCTTACCCCTTTTCAGATCACATCTAAGACCTTCCTCTTTGACTGTGCCTCCGGTCACCTTCCTTCTCCCCCAGCTCGGCGTCAAGCTCCGTCACTGTTAAGCACTCCGCGACTCTACCCATGTGAAGTGCGCAATATAAATACATTGTTCCATGCAATGTTTTGGTCTCAATTCACGTTCAAATCAATTCCCTACATTCGCTGTGAGTATGGTAAAGCTAAATTCATTACTATAAGGCAAGACAGACAGGATGGGGAGATGGACAGTCTTGGTTAGTAATTGAATATTTAACAAGCTATGTAAAGCTCCTGCAAAATATAATGTGCTGCAATATGATGATAAAGCAAAACAGGTTCCTGTTCCTGGCACAGTCAAAGAGGAAGGTCTTAGATGTGATCTGAAAAGGGGTAAGGAGGGAGCAAGCTGGAGGGACTGAAACATTTGAGAGATGACAGATAATTTCCTGGGTTACCCAAAAACATAAATCTGTATCACATTTAACAAAGTCTCAAAGTCGTAATGCCTTCAATCAACAGGCTATCATCCTGAGGGTAAAATAGGAAGGATTGAAGAGGTGCTCAAAATCAATT